AACCTAATGTAGACAGGTTTCTTGAGGTGCTCACCAGCTCTTTGAAGAATGCCTTCTTCCAATAAGGCCTCTTAATTGAGTATTTTCCAAACTTTTCCCCTTCATGACCCCACATACATTCAGATAATTTCATTCAACACAATTACCACTGTTAGTGGACCCCTCTTCAGCTGGTCCATGATAACTATCCCTTGTGCCCACTATTATATTACCATGACAACTAAGTCAGACAGGTTACTCCTGAATGAAATGGAAATACATTGACCCAGCTTCTCTCTCGTTTACTGTGAGAGGAGTGGGCATACAAATAGCTTTCCTGAAGCAATTGAGGTATTTCCGTCTCTTGTTAATTCCTGCCTTCTCTTAATTGTGGTCACATAGGGTAGTTGTGGGTTTGTGGGGAACTAGGAGCCCTGTGCAGATTGTAACTCCACTTAGGGTCATTATTCCTAGACTGGGAAATGGTTTTCAGTTTTTCCTTGGTTCAGGTTAAGCCAGCTGTCCTTCTTTCAGACTCCAATCTCCTTTTTACTAAAGTAAAAATCTGTTTACACTGGATGAAAAATAAACAATTGTGAACTGCTGAAACATTTCTGGGTTTTGCAGTGTGTGTCAGTTTACAGCATCCTGCATGTTAGATGAGAGCAACAATGACAGGTCTTGGGGAGGGGAAGAACCTGCTCAATACACTTGTCTCAGAGCACAACGAATAGCCAGCTTATGGCTATAACATGTGCTGAATCAACAGTGGTTTGTCCACAATTGTATCAAAACTACTGACAGATCAGGAAGTATCAACAGAGGAATTTAACTTCAATGTATTGCCATAAGATGCCTGCCCATCAGTTCAGCCACTCGTTCAGATCTTGAGCTTTTCAGGAATTTCCCTTGGTATAGCTGAACACAGAAGAGCTGTAGGCTATTTCAGGTTTTCTTGGGTCAAGATTTACAGCTGAATTTGGTTTAGTTTCTCTTCACGCATTTATTAAGAACTTAAAATATTTATTCAATATGTTTGCACAGTGTAATGCAGTAATGCTCAGAGACTGCAGTCAGGAACAGGCCTCTAATGAACTAGATACTGTACAATGCAGAATAAGGGACAGTATTTGACTTGAGCCACTTATACTGCAAAGCCTTGATCAGCTAAACTGGTGCTCATGAGTACAACCCAGACCAAAATAGAATCCCCATTGGTGTTAATGGGATCCTGCACTGGTATACTTGTCCACAAAAATGGAACAGCTTGCATAATTAGAGATGTAGACTATGATGGGAGAACCATGGCCCTTCAAGAAGCCTCATTTCCTGGGCTATTTATTTACACCCCCTCCCTTCAACATTCACTTTTGACTGGGGAGAGCCCAGTGACCTGCTTGAAACCTCTGTGTGTGTGTTTCAGTACTGTTAGACACAGACCTCTAACGTGTCTTGCTTCTACCCTTGCAGTCCCTAAGCCCCTCCTGTCGAACCCACATATCCCCTCAGCTAGTTACTCTTCTGGTCCCAAATACTGAACAGTTAGGTCCCAGGCTCCGTTTTCTCCATGCAGAGCCATTGGGTGCTCACATCCAACCACTGTCTGCCAACAGCTCTGCTTTCAAAGGCCAGCTCTTGGCAGCTACTGAGAGATTTGTCTATCACAGCGCCACATTCATCCCTTTCATGGAACATATCTGATTAGGCACTACTATCTTAGTAATTTTATAACAGAAATTTCCTAATTACTTTCACCAACATTGTTCTTTTTTTCTTTTTATGCTGCAGGATGAATTTTGAGTGGTGGCAAAATCAGTTTGTGTGACAGCAGGTTTACCACCTTCACTGTTTGTCTTACTTTCAGATGAGAGTTGTAGGTTACCTGCTTTTGTCAGTATTTGTTGGCATAGAAAAAGGGAAAACGTAATTTCACATTTATTTAAGTTGCATAGATACTGGCAATTATTCTGACAATGAAACAAAATGCTAAAGAAATGAATATTTACTGTTCTGTTTACTGCCATAAAGTGGTGATGATTTATTTTCACAAAGCCAGGAAAAGACAGTAAAGAAAATTGCAGCTGCAACATCTCTGCTGCAAGTCAAACAAGAGTGTTATTTACTAAACATTACACACTGGGAATAGAAATCAAGGTTTGAATAATATTTAGCCTCAGCAACTTACTTGGGATGTGATAAAATATGTTAAATATTTTGACAATATGTTCTTCACAGGCAGGAGAGACATT